TATTATTTGCTATTTTAAAGCGAAAAAGATAGAATGGAAATTGTCCATGCCCAGTTAGAATTTGTGTAAGAAAGTGAGACGGTGGAAACGTGATGGGTATTTTATATACAGATGACATCCATGTAAAAAGCTCTTTTCCTTGCCCCTTTACCTGCCATTCCTGTTCCCATTGTTGTTTAGCTTCATTAAATAGTTGTTTTTTTATATATTGTTTGGAGAATGAACATGAAATATATTTGCCTTGATAATATGCGAGTTTAGCATATTTATCAGCTAATTCGTTTCTCACATTTCCAGCGTGTGCCTTAACATATACAAGTTGAATTTTATGTATTATTTTTAATTCCTGAATAAGATGTTTGATACTATGTATGTTTTTTGTTTTCGTTTCTATGTTTGCAATATTTTGAAGAAGGGATAGACTATCAGTGTATATAGTTATGATTAAGGGATGTGGTTTGTTATTCTTTATATATATTAATGCTTGCTCAAAGGCTATTCTTTCCGCATCATATATAGTCGCATATGGTGGCAGTCTAAATTGTTCAATTTTTTCTATTTCTTCTTATTCTGACATTACTACATAAGCGGCACCAACTTTTCCTGGTTTTAAAGAGCCATCTGTATATATGTGCAAATTACTAGGGACACTGATATTTAATGCATAATCAAATTTGTGTTTCAATGCTGGATGTTGAGACCAGGAGTCATATTTATAATCAGAATTATGTCTGTTAAATGTTTCATTATTACATTGGATTTCCTTATGTGCTTGGAATAATGTGAATTGCTTTGTTTCCTTTTCTAAAGTAATATGCAATGGTAGGACGTTACTAAGTATTGGAAGACTTATATTACTAGTGGTACGATATGCCCGAGTAATATTTAATAGAGGAATACGCTGTATGGATGTTATTTTTCGGATTAAATGAGAATTATTTGTAGTTTTCCACCATGCACAAGCTCCATATACACAATACCTTTCTATACATCCAAGGTAGATGTCCCTCTGCTGCTGCTGGTTTATTCCCCAATGTATTTTTGAAAATGTTGATAAGTTTACTGTATGTTTTATAACTTTTTCCCTAAGATATTCGGCATGAGGTAGGAAAGTAAGGTTACCATCGAAAATTACTCCTAATATTCTCATTGTTGGAAGTATTTTTAGACTGATATTATTAATTCGTATAGTTGGAGGACGTGTTTGGGTGATTCTTCGACCTACAGCGAATAACAAGTAGTTGCATTTAGAGTAATTGAGAGTAAGTCGATGTTCAGTAGACCAATCAGCTATAGTTTTTAAGCAAGTATTAGCAGTGTCTTCTAGCGCTCGTCTGGTTGAACCAGAGACTATTAATATGGTATCATCGGCGTAGGCTTGTATGTGTACTGTAAGTGGGAAAGTTTTATTTAAGAGTTTTGATATTAAAATGTTCCATAAAAGTGGACTGAGCGGAGAGCCCTGAGGACATCCCATCTCTACCGGGCAAGTAACCACGCCAACTGGAGATACATATGTGTTTGTTCTATTTTGAAGGAAAGATAATAATAGCTGATATAAATTTGTAGGACATTTGTGTTCGCGTAGGTATTCAAAGATGATTGGGTGCCAGACAGAATCAAAAGCTCCCTGGAAGTCTAAAGATATCAGTACTGAGTGTTTATCATTAGCTCTATTTTCTTCGAGTGTGTGTCTTATCTGATGTAAAGCATTTGCAGTAGATTTTTCATGCGTGAATCCATATTGTTTGGGATGGAATAGATTATTCTGATATAAAAAGAAGTATAGTCTAGAATTCAATAAACGCTCAAGGACTTTACCAAAAATAGAATTTAGGCATATAGGTCTGTAAGAACGGGGATTTTCAAGAGGTTTGTTAGGTTTATTGAGAAGTATTAATTTAGCCTCTTTCCACTGTTGGGGAAAATAACTATATTTTAAAGCACTATTAAATATGTTTAAGACAAAGTTTGGATGTGAAGAGAAGATACATTTAAGTAAGTTAGAAGTTATATTATCTAAACCTGGGGCGCTTCTTGGTTTTAATTTTGTTATTATGCCCGTTACCTCATTTAGGGTGAAAAAATGATCATGTAAATGACCAATGTTCCTATTAATAGATATTCGTAATTCCTTTTGTACAGGTGTATCATTTTCTATGTTATCTTTTTGAAAGAGGCATTTCATTATCTCCGTTAATGACTGTATAACATTTGACGTTAAGGTTCCGTCTTCTTTTAATATGGGAGGTATGATAAGAGGTTTTCTCATTTTTTCAAATGCTATTTTGTATGGCAGTCCAAAAATATTTTGTTTAGTGTTATCTGTACAGAAGTTTTGCCAGGAATTTTCTTTAGCATTCGTTATATCTATTTTGTACTCTTGTAAAAATTCGTAGTAGGGTCGTTTAAATATTTGTTTTAATTCTGGATTTTTAGATCTTTGGTAACGGCGTCTAAGTGCTCGTACTTTTTTTCTTGTAATATCGAGTTCTGGAGTCCACCAGGGATGAGCTTTGTGTTTTTGTTTGACGTTTCGAATACATTTCTTACGATAGGCACTAAGTTTATCGTAAAATATATTTAAAATTATTTGTAATTGAAATGAAGAAGTAATTTGAGTGATCGATATCTGTTTGAACCATCGGTCTTCATGAATCATTTTAATTAAATTTAATTCTCCCTTTTTGGTTAGTCTTTTAATTGGTGCTTGCGTTGTATGAAACAGAGAAAAATATATATACCTATGGTCACTCAGTGATTCGGTTGTAAGGACTTTCCAGAAAACAACCTCTGATAATATATTCAGTGAAGTTAATGTCACGTCAATCCAACTTTTACCATTTGCTGTCTCGAAGGTAGGAATAGAATCACTATTGTTTAATGTTGCCAGGTTATTAGTCAACATAAATTCGATTAGTTCTGTTCCGCGTTCATCAGTTATTTCATTACCCCATAATCTACCTTTGGCGTTAAGATCTCCTCCTAAAATTATGTTGTTACATGTAATTGTTTCCAACTCCTTTTTCAAAGCTAACAAATAGTCAATAAGATTACTCGATGGGGAGCAATATGTTGAGACAAGTTTGATTTTAGTGTTTTTAGTTTCTATAATTATGATAATTCTATCTCTTTCAACTTTAATCGGAAATGGCACGATTTCAGTGTTTCTAATTATAATAGCACATAGTGGACGCGTTTTTGCAGCGAAAATGGTGTCATTAATTGAACATCCCGTTAGATTATTGTTGGTTGTATAGTATGGTTCTTGTACTAGGAGAATGTCTGGTTGAAGATCTGAGACAACCTTGGAAAGGTTATCAGAAGCTGCTTTGGAGTGAGCTAAATTTATTTGTAAAATTTTTAGATTTGATGCCATTTCAAATTAAAGCAGGTTTTTCCCTTTTTTTTTTCAGTATGCAGTACGCATTCGGCGTTTTTCTGTTTGTTGTTTGTAGAGCGGGCAAATTGTCTCGTAAAATGTATGATTCACCGCAAGAGATGTTCCTTGCTTTTCGTTTGATTTAGTGCATGCCGCACATTTTTTCTCTCGTGTGCATCTGCCTTCATGCATAGAGCCGCATCGGCCACACACTGTCCAATCTGCCTGGCAGAAGCGTCGCGTGTGACCGTACTGGCAGCACTTGGAGCACCTCACAACATGGAAGAACTCGGAGATGGGACACCGAGTCCAACCAAGTGTGAGGAAGGTTTTTTGTTTTACAATTTTGTAGATTACAGGATCTACTGCCAGAATGAAGGTCTGCGTCCCGCTGAACCGGTCAGGAAAGACAGACCTGATGGTGAGCTGTTCCTCGGTTACTTCCAGGCCATTCTGCTCCTTTAGCTTCAGAAACGCAGTTTCACGGGTGACCGAAGGGTCGACCCCCGTGACGCGAAACTGAGGCCTGAAGCGCACCGGTAACTTTGGTGTTAGTATGTCCTTCACCGTCTCATCTCCCTCGATGGCTGATTTAAGCCTATAGAGGCCTTCCCTGTTCGACGACTGGACGCTGACGCCATTTGATGAAATGTTTCGTACCGATACATCCTGTATGTTTAAAGGAGCGATGCAACGATATCCAGTTGGAATGTTTTTCGCTTTACACGAGCTTACTGGCACTAGTGGGACTCAAGGATACTCGCACGCAACGCCACTGGCCAAGAAACTCCTTTGTTGCGGTGTGATTTCGAGGAGAAAAGCGACCATTTTCATTCAATCTCTCCTTTGCAAATTTTGATGACGTAACGTGGGTATCGCAGTACACCCATATGACGATATTTGAATGCTGTTCATTGATTGGACCCGAGCATTGCGTAGGCACTCGATTTGGGCTCGTGATAATTACTAGCTCGAGAAGCATTCGGGTAGTGGCCCGTGTCCAATCGCTGCAACGACGACAATAGCCGAGCCATAACAATATCTGGAATTCAGCGCGTGCCCTGTGCTTTGCCAACCCCAGCGCGTGGCTATGATCTACATTGGCGGCATATAATCGGCTCCAGATCACGTGGCCGCTTGTTCTGGCTGCGAGTTGAGGGGGTGAACGCTGCTCGTTTTTCTTCATTTTTTTTCTGGGACTTCTATTGCATGGGGTGAAAAACGAACGCGTGTTTCATAGGTCATTAATGTCAGGGATCCGTTCTAAGTGGTATTTGCGCAATGTACAAAAATTGTTGCATCGCCCCTTTAAAGTGACGGGGCTGAATCGTGTGGTCAAGGTCGCCCGGGTGTTTACATCTGGTTTCCCATAGACCAAAAGAGTCTCTCGGTGTTCCTGGACGGGCACTGAATGCGTGCTCGCATCAGCCACCGTCGCGGGAAGGGGACCAGAAGTGCCGGCGAGAGCGCCTGGGCCCGCGAGAACCGAGGAGTATGTCGCCCGCACTCCCGGCCCCCCCCTCCCGGAGGTCCCGCAGCTGGTCCACCTTCCCCTGAAGGTGGGCCACCTCCATGGAAACGAGCGTCAATGCGTCGCCGATTCCATTCACGCTCTTACTCAGGTCCGTCCAGGATTCGTGTGAGAGGCTCTTAGCGTGGCGCTTCATCAGAGTGATCATGGAGTCTTTGAGCACCGCGTATTGCTTCAGCGCGGACGCCACGACTGGGTTTACACCAGGCGCAGCGTCCGTAGATAGGGACATTTTGTAAGTGAGAGTGAAAAGAAATAAAAACAATTGTTCTCTCTACCTGCACCACCAATCGGTATAACAGGTTTAATCCAATAAAAGTAAATGAATAGGACCATAAAGCGGTCAAAGATATTTTTGGTGAAAAAGCCAATCAAAAAGAATAACAGGGGAGACAGCGAAACCCTCGATAGGGAACGGGCAAAGAAATAGTCAGCGGGCATTTATTTTCTCTATCAAAAATGTATGTTTTGATTTTGACTTTATCTTCTCTTTTTTTTTTTTCTTCGGGGGTTCTCCGGGTTGCCTGTCTCCTGAACGGGAAGTTGACGACGAGGAAGCGAGGTATGTATATTTATCTGTAATCAGGATACATGGAAAATGGAAATTAGACGTTATAAATATTTACATAAACTTTATGTTTATAAATTTAGATAGAAGGTTAAAGCAGTAAATATAATATATATTTACATAGAATTACATTATGTACATTATTTACATAGATCTTAACTTTTTTTTTTTTCCCTTTTTGGTTGTAACAATTACGGGAATTTCTGGTCTTCTTTCATTGCAGGTTCCTGTTTCCTTGCTCTCTCCTCTCCAGTCCTGCCCTTCTCTATTCTCTTCCTTCCTTGGTACACTGCACCTTGTCTGTTCTGTTTGAAATTTTAATAGGTATATAGTAAAAATATTATAGATAAACCCAGCCAAAGGGCCGGGATGTTTCTGTTGTAGTGTTTCGTGATCTGATTTTTGATTACTTATGAGGTTAAGAAATTCAGATTAAGATATTTTCCTGAGGTACAACTCGATGGGTGTTGGAGGGAGGAAAGTATTTTTAGTTCAAGAATTACAAGTATGCCGGTGTGCAAGATATTATTTAGAGGTTCGATCATAATGGTGTGCCTTTCGAAGTGAGTTAAGAAGAGCGATTTAAATGGTGTGTATATTTTTATAGTTTATGTCAATGTCAAATGCTACTTTTCCTAGGACAGGTAAACAAATAATTAGATTATCTGATTATCTGTCTAATAGAGAATAGATGTTGTGAGTAGATTAAAAGAGAATTGACTGTATTAATAGATTTGTTTAATATTTTTCTTCTTTCTTTACACTATGCATGCATGAGGGTTTATTGCTACGAGTGAGTGAGAAAATGTTTTATTTTCAGGTGGGGTACCTGTTGCCCTTGAAACTCGTCATTGGCTACAGGGGGAGGGGAAGGAGGGATTGGGTTTAAATGTAAATATCAAGTCCGGCGGACTTGATGAACTCTATCAGCGAGTCCAAAATTGCTTTTCTGTGCTCGGGGGTGCCGTCTGGAAGAACCCATTCCTTTAGGCAGGATGGTCTTTCTTGTGGCGGTAGAGCATTCAAAGCTAGTTTCCGCTTGATGTCACTTTTGGGACAATCCCAGATGATGTGTTTGATGTCTGCCAATATTTGACAGTGATCGCACATGTCAGTTTCGGAATCTTCCCCGTTGTTGCTTTTCCGGAATTTATACTTCAAAGCCGGTGTCATGGCGGTTCCTGTACGCAACCTTCGTAGGCATACACGCTCCCACCGACTGTAAGATGTCGATGGAAGGGGGTGTTCGTCTGGCCTGCGTAGATCGGCGAGTCTTTGTCTTCTTTCTAGCCGTTCTTGTGCTTTGATTTCCGACGGGTCGACGTCGTCTTCGATGTCTTCATCTACGACGGGGTGCACTGAGCCTTGGCCGGGTGGGACTGCCTGTAGCTGCTCCCGTGCGGCTGCATGTGCCTCGTCGTTTCCGTGGATACCTTGATGTCCGGGGATCCATCGTATCTTGATGGTACGGCCTTCAGCTCGAAGCTGTTGGGCCGTAGCCTTAATGCTTTTAACCGTTTTGCTGCGGCTATCATGTTTTTTCAATTCTCGTACGGCTTCTTTAGAGTCCGTAAAGACATAAATGTTGCTTTTACGTTTTTCTTGTTCTGCACTTTCGACCGCCGTCTTGATGGCTTGAAGTTCAGCCTCCTTGACGCTGGTGGTAATGCCCAGGGAGGCGGCGACTCTTCTCTGGTCGTTTGCGCAATAATGAGCCATAGCTGTGCATTTGTCCTCCTTGGCTGCGTCCGTGTAAATAATGACGTTAGTGTCATCTTCAAGAAGTGATTGTACCTCGGTGTCGTGTTTCCTGGCAGCGCTATTTCTTCTTTTAACTTGTGTTTTTCCTTGATTTTGCGGGGTCGGTCTTGTATCAATAACTATCTCGTCTTCCCATGGTGGAGGAGGTTTCGTAAAAACTTGGTAGACCTCGTTGTTGTAACCAAGAGCTCTCAGGATCTTTCTTCCTGGTTCAGTTTTTTCAAGCCTCAAGTTTTGACTGATTTTGTTTTCTTGTGCTATTTCTTCAATCGTGTTGAGTCCTCCGATCTCGTAAAGCGCTTCCACCTTGGTGCACCTGGGAAGCCCAGTGATTACTCTCAAGGCTTCCCTGTTAAGTGCTTCAAGTCCGTTCTTTTGTGCTCTGGTTAGACTGAGGTAGTTCACTCCGTAAGTTGCCTTTGGTACAAGGAAAGCCTTAACCATGGTCCTGAGGATGTCTTCTTTAGCTCCCCACGCTTTGCCGGTGGTGTGTTTGATCATATTGAGTGCCTGCTTCCACTGACTTTTGATTTGCTGGTACCAGCTTCCCGCCTTTCCGTTTTCGTCAATCACGATACCGAGTATCTTAATTGAGGTTTGAGATTTAATTTGCTGGCCATTGATGAGGAGCTTGATCTTGTCTCCAACTTTTTCATCTCGCCCTCTGGCGTTGGATATGGCGACGTAATTTGTTTTTTCGGTTGAGAGTTGTAACCCCGTCTGTTTGGAGAAGTCTTGAATTGTGTCCAGGGCTTTTTGAAGCGTGGTGACTTGCGTGGACGTGCTGCAGTTCTTTGTCCAAATAGTAATATCGTCTGCGTAAATGGTAAATCCCAAGAAAGGAATTTTTTCTAGGGAAAGAGCAAGATCTGCCATCACCATATTAAAAAGTGTTGGCGAGATTACGGCTCCTTGTGGGACACCGATCTTGTTATCCGTCATCGGTCCTCTGGTTGGTCCTATAGCCGTTTGGTATTTTCTTTTGTCCAGAAAAGAGTGAATGAATTTCAGGAGTCTCCCTTTGATTCCTCTTTTGACTGCACCACGTATGACCGCGTCGTGGGGCACAGAATCAAAAGCTTTCTTTATGTCGATCGTGACGATCAGCCGTGGATTGTAGGAGGGTCGTTTGGAGGTGATGTCCTTGTGAATAAGGGCCAAACTATCCTGCGTTGACAAACCTGGTCTGAAGCCGGTTTGTCTGGCGCAGTAAGCCTGGCTCTCAATTTCGAGGAGCCACGTGATTCTCGCGAGGACCATCCTCTCCATGGTCTTGCACAAATTGGAAGTGAGTGAGATTGGTCTTAGGTTCTGGATTGAGTCGGTGAGCTTGCCTGGCTTGGGAATTGGAATAACCGTTGACAGTTTCCATTCTTCGGGCAGCTGTCCTGTCTCCCATATTTCGTTAAACCAGGCCAGCAGTTCCGTCTTCTTTTCCTCTGGCAGGTTCTTGAGAGACGTGATGGTGATCTTATCCGGTCCGGGTGCGGTGTTCCTTGCTGATTCCAGAGCCATTATAAGTTCCCCCATGTTAAATGGGGCGTCTGCTGGTGACCCATGGTCGAGCTCGGGAACCCTCTTTTTGTAGCGTTGCTGCAGCTGTTGTGTTGTTGGTTGCGGGAAGAAGTGTTCCCCTGCCATTACTGCAAGATCTTCTTCCGTGATGCCGAGCTTGATAGCGAGATTTTGTCCCGTACAATTGTTCTTTTTCTTACCGGACATGCCTTTGTATGTCCGCCACATTCTTCTAATGCCGGTTTTTTCATTGAATGAATGGCAGTGCCGTCTCCAGATTTGCTGCTTCAGCTCCTTCGTATAACGTTTGGCTCTAGCCGTTGCGATGTTTAGTTGTATTTTGTAGCGGATGTTATACTTTGCTTTTCTATATCGCTGTTGAGCTTGAAGTCTGCTTGCCCAAAGGTTCAGCAAATGCATGTCTGGGTTGGGAGTGTCTTCTTTGACTTGGTAGGTCCTTGTCGCCGCTTTGACTGCCAGTTGGATCTGATGAGCGAGGGGGAGTGAGGAAGGGACCTTTTTGATGGCATCGCGAAACGTGTCCCATCGAATGAAGGGTGCGTCTCGTCTCCGTGTACCGTTGGTAGGGAGCTCGATCCTGATCGGCAGATGATCACTACCCATTGCGTCTGGCAATGTTTTCCAGGAGAGTTTGATTTTCTTGCTTGCCCAAGTGAGGTCAGGCGTCGTGTCTACTTCTTTGGCATGAAGGCCAATCCTCGTTGGTATGCAGGGTTCGTTGACTAGTACTAATCCGACCTCCTTCATTTTGCCCTTTAGTGTCTTGCCTCGAGCTGATGTGCGGGTATAGCCCCAGTCTTCGTGCTGAGCGTTAAAATCTCCGCTGATTATGAGAAGTTCTTTATTGGGTCTGAGGTGCGTGAGCCAGCTCATATCATCTCCGTCTTTAACGTTAGGTCGGATGTAGGTTGAAGCAATTATGAGAGGCTTCCCTTCGTGTTTTATCTGCACAGCAACTACCTCTCTTGCTTCATTGCACAGATGTGCTGATTCTATACGCGCGTGTGGAACTTGTTCCTGAACTAGAATGGCCACCTGCCCGATGATCGCTGTCACTGCATCTTTGCCATTCCCGTGGTTAATCGTTCTCGTTATGGAGGGTTCTGTGTACGTTTTGTATCCATTAAGTTTGACGTTTTCGTGGTTGGTTTCCTGAAGGAGAAGTACCGCTGGTCTTCTCTTGCCCATTCTTTCGAGTTGAAGTTTGAGCTCCGCACATTTGTTTGCAAAACCTCTACAATTCCAATGAAAAATCCAAGGGTGTACCTTTGTATCTTGGTAGTTTGAGCCGTTCGGTTTCATATTTACTGTGGTGGGTGTTTAGCAGTGAGGTATTTGTCAAATTTCTCGCCGATGTAGTTCACCTT